TTAAATAATTCAAATTGTATTTCTTTGCACGACTTCAAAGAGACACCGAATGAAACCGAATGTGGATTTTGGGAAAAATGACAGACGATTGAAGATGCGGGTTCCGCCGAGTATATCTACCAAAGTGGCACGTTGCGTTCGAAGACCAATTTATGAAGAGCAATTCGACGTCGCGGGACAGAGATCATTACGAACACCATTATCAGCGAAAATAAGTCGGCGTTTGAATTCCGTTTTTTTTTTTGCGTTTCGAATCGCAAAAAGAATGAGACGTATAATTGGCTGTTAAACTAGGTATTCTTCGAGCGACCTTCGCCGAGTGAGAAAATAATGATACGAGAACCTCGAAAATACACAGGAAATTGACAGCATTGATCGTCAAAGATGGTGGTTTGAAAAATTATGAGTTGATAAAGTCGGATTTGGTCGAGAATTCTTGCAGACCTTGATATCTGCTTTGTTTCTTTTACCAATTTTTTTTAGCTGAAAAAAATTCTTAAGGAGATTATCATCAAATTAAAATCATACCATTGATCGATACAATCTTAATTAACAAGTTTAATTTATTTGCCTTGTTCGCAAGTTTTTGCATATAAATTTTGATATTGCGTTAAAATGAATACGAGTACTTTAAATGTAATCATTAAACGAAAAGTACAGTTCGCGAAATCTAGAACGAATAATAATTCATACAGCTTGTCTGAAAGACATTTGATGCTCATCATTGCTCATGGGCAGAACTATGAATTAACAGATGCTTCATTACGATAAGATAAGAATCCTCAGGCAAAACAGGGCGCACAGTTCCGGGAGGAAGAATAAAAGAAAAGCCGCGAGCAACGGTTGATTATAGATTTTCTGAGTGGCGTCACGCGCCATGAGATCATCGGCATCGGAAAATGTGAGCGTCAATTCCCGCGTGCGAGGCATTGCCGTTAGAGAAACAACGCTAAGAAGAATCGCCCACACGGCCTCTGCAACGAGAAGGCTGGCGATAATACCTCCGTCGTTACATAATAGCGCATATACATTGCGCATAATCGAGCATAAACACGCTTATCGTGCGCGTCGCCGTGTGTCATGGGTTAGGCAAACAATTACTGTCCGATTGCAGAGCAATTTGTCCCTTTTTATACGAAAGCCCTGTCACAGAGATTTTCCAAGTACTCCGATTCCCAATGATCAACAAATCTCCCATTATATTTTTGACTTTCGTCTTATAAACAAACCGCAAAACATAAGCCATAACTTGGTGCCAACGCTAATGTTATCAACGCAAATCGTAATTATATTATAGAAGTTTAAATAGAATTAATTCTAACATAACTATATTGATAGTTCTGATTCGCTTTCGATGTAGATAAACTTTAATCTCGGCTCAATTTTTACTCTCCTTCTTTCTATAATTTTAAGAAAAATGTAAGAAGAATAAATTGAACTGAGATTAAAATTAATCTTAATACATTGGTATATTACGAAAAGTTTTATTGAAAATGAACGCACCAGATTATTAACATCAATCAGAATTCCGATTATCTCAACTATATAGAATTATAATAGATTCCATCAGAAAATCCAGACTTATCATTTCCAATTCCGATTAATACTCTTTTTTTTCCTGTGTGAATACAGGCGTTAATCTTCAATCGACTTTTCTGTAAGATTCGGACGGTTTATTCCGTTGCCAGGCTCTATGCAAAGAGTAACAGGGCAACGGTCAAAGAACGCGCGATAAAAGGGCAGCAGCTGGGCATTATTCTGTATTTTCATATCTGATCGTGCGCACACCGGCGCAACGTGGAACAGTGTGCTGCTTTACGGAGATAAATCTGCGTGTTACCCTACCTTTCACTTGCGCACGTGTGCATTGCATCTCGCTGCCCTCAGGGTAAAGTCGCATAATAAGGCGCGAGATTAAGAGCGGGCGCGGGTGGCGATGCGAAATTTACGACGCGTAACAGGGTAGTTTCCATCGCGTGACAAGTCATTTCTATCGCGGCAACGCTGACGCGAATTATCCTCGCGACGATTGACACGTCGTAATTAAAGTTTTTGCGAAGTCCAAAATATATACGATAATTTAAATCTAGAAGGACTTAATTTATCATAAATCTAGATCTTTATAGCTTTCGAGGTATTACTTCATTTAACGATCGATCCTAGCAATTTGTATTTCTATATCCGGAAATTGTAAATACGGAATTTAAATACACAAGTTAGAAAATTGTCAGTTTATTTATACAATATGAAATATATTTTTATATTATATATGTATATATAAAATATATCTTTTTAGTGTTTTTATCGTCGACTTTCATCAATTTCACAAGTTAGAAAATGCTCTATTTATTTATATATATATAAAATATATTTTATATATAATGTATATATTAAATATATTTTTTCATACAATGGCCACACGCGTCTTTATCGTCGACTTTCATCGATTTTGTTTACATCTTTTCTGTTATGAGAAGCGACTCAAGAGGAACGCGTTTTGAAAAGAGCGTGGTGTAATCGTGCCTTAACGCGAACTTCTAACACAATCGCATTGCACGCGGGGTCATGGAGAAAGAGAGAGCGAAAACGAGACTTATGCAAATTTTTGTTCGCTCGCCGGGTGCGCGCAACCTTTCCGCGCCGCGTAACTTCGAGGATACGTCGCGATGACGATTTCAATCTTATTAGCAAATCAAAATTATTAAATTGCTTGTCAATTTAATATGTGATATATATTCCTATTCTAGTTCTGTTCATGATTGCGTTTCAAGACCAAAAGATTTCTGTTTGCAAAATTGGATATGTACATATATAAATTCACTTTGTGTGAAATAGGAGTATTTGAGCACCGATTGAAAATGAGTTTGTATCTCTTAATGACCCAATTAATGTGTTTGTCACAGAAATTATATAGCGACTCGCTACGAAAAAAAAAGTTTGTCCTACGGTTCTCTTATTTGTATTCGACGATGAAGAATTTGGTCGTCAAAACACGGCGGACGGGTGTCACGAGCGTGATTACGTCATGACCGTGAAGTATGCATAAATCATTAAAAGGTAGAAAATTGAATATACGCACGTAAATGTTGTTCGCGTTTATGCATGAATGAATAAGGCAGACACAGACACCGATGTATAACACGGCCGATCAAAGATTGATTTCTCAGAATTATTTTAATTACGAGAGTAAATTGAATTTTCTTTACGCGGCACAAGCTCGATTAAATTATATGTTTTTATGTTCAAGTTAATATGCGAGGCATGCTGGAGGTACATGGCATTCGACATAGTAACGCTAAGATTCTGTAATCCGCTACAGAGCGTAACTTATACAGAGAAGGCTGAAATATTCATAGATATGTAATCAGTGTGCAGAACGTGTTGCTCTAATAACGCCCGAGACTGATCCTTCGGACTTTGCCGAACCACCGGAAGTTCGAATGTCCATGAAGGGGATAGACACGGTGGCTTCGCGGAAGATCGTCATTAACGCTTCACGGTTATTTTGAGTTCTATTAATATCTCTGAAATCAAGCGAAGCGCCGTGGCTTCTCCTTGCCAAGCCCAGGTATGATCTAATCGTGATCGTATATGCGCAGGGTGTAGCAAAGGAAACAGACCTGCGCGCATCTTCGATTACAGATTTCGAGTGAGAGAGAAAAAAGAAAGGCAGGAGTGAAAAAATTTCATGGAATCTACTTAAAATTCACTGAATAACGAAAGTGTATAATTCATAAACATGCCACATCAATATGTGCCATCGATTCTAATTGCTACTTTCACCAGAATGATAAATAGCCTCGCATTAATTGTCAGTAATTATTTAGTAAGTTTTCCTATCATTTATTTTGCGACTGCGGAATGTTTAATTACTTTGATTCGTAAGAATAATTTATAGTAGACGATAAATAATCTTGTTGAACGATGAGAACTGTCTGGCCTTTTGCGGAACTACCGCGAATAATGCGGCAATTAATGACAGAAACTAATAATCGTACGGCACTCAAACGAGAAATGTCGCAGAACTCCGATGAACCTTGGAAATGATATAGGCGCGAGGATGATATTTGCGAAGTGTTGCAATCGTGTGCTCGAGGAAGTCCCTCCTCGAGCAGCCGCAAACACTTTATGTTGCGATCGATTGCGCAAGTGGAATGCAACGGCGGAATTGTCGCTGGATGAACTTTTGCTCTCGCCATCGATCTCGATGGCGGATTATTTCCTATCAATCGAGAAACGAAGGTGCCAAGTGTGCGATTGCCGATGCGACACGTAATATTTGCGACCGAAATTCGAACACCGACAAGCCGAGCAGTCGCGACGTTGCAAGGCCGTTCGTTTCAAAGCAAGATAGCTTCTGACTTCGGTATGGATTACAGGCGTGGTACGGCGCTTGAAACAATACACCGATACGATATATTGCACACGGTTCTATCGCTCTGAATGCAATATTATGTAATCTTCCCGGCGGTAGGCAGATAACGCGAATCAGTGACCTCGTTGTATCACCGTTCAAGGAAATAAAATTTTATATACGACGGAACGACTTGCCTCTCCAAACGTTATTTCTATATCATCAATGTTGTTCGTTCTCCCTTCGCCGGAAAGGTAAAATTCCGATCAAGTAAGATATCGACGTGTCATTAAATCGAAGTCGGTTGCGAAGTACATGGAAGTAGCGTTTATTCCCATCACATCGAGGAACATACGGTCTTCGGTAAATATTCATGATGTATACGTGTAATGCTAAGCTGCGAGGAGGGGCGAGCAGACAGATGGAGGAGTCTTCCTGCATGCGAAGGCAGGATCGCCGCGTGATAAACTCTAGAGCTGCACGATGGCAGCACGATACAAGCGTTCGTGCGCACGTTGAATTGCGATATGCGCCGCGTGGTACACTCGCGCCTTACTTTTCGTCGTCGTCGTCGTCGTCGGCGGTGGCGGCGAGCTTAAATTAAGCGATACCCCGCAGCGCCAGAGAATTCAATCAGTCTACTCACCGTCGGACGACATTGCCAAGGGTAAAAGATCACCAGCGGCCTTCAGTTGATCGAACTTCTCTATTAGCAGAAGCATTCTGTAAGCAGAATAAGCGACGGGTTTATATAACGTTGCGATCAAAGATTTGATGGTTTCATTAACGCATCGCACTGTTAATATTTAACGAGGAAAAGAAAAGTTTCTTGAGCGACTGAATCACGATTAGGAGATATCCCGTGAAATTCTATGCAGGCCGAAAGCCGAAAGACAATCGCTTTCTCCGTCCATTTCACTTACTTGGCTTGCGGCACATTGTGTTTTCTTTGCAAATCGACGCGTAATCTCTCGCCTACGTGTCGATAGATGTCCGCTAGCGTGTTTAGAGCAGTTTCCCGAACCTTTTCGGACGGATCTGACAGTAGCTTTACGATGCTCGGAATTACCCCCGACAGTGCCATCTCATCTGCTCCATGTCTGGAAAAATTCAAATTTCATTAAAAAACTCAAATATTTTTGGAACATATAATTCATTTTGAATAAACATATTGCCACTCACTCGTTCAGCGTAGTCGTCAATAGAATCAGAGCCTCCTCTCGTAATTTTGCATTCTTATGATTGAAGGCTGGACGAAGTCTATCCAGAAGATTCTGAGGCGACATGCATCCCTTCTCCATAATTTTCAGGAGCACCAATTGTGCCTTCTCCCTGGTAGCATCTTTACTGTCACCTGTAATAAATGCGAAGTTAATTGTCGATTCGTATATACATGTGAAAATTGGGAGCGAATATCTTCGGATTGCGCGCGTGTGCGTGAGCTTATTCTTGACGTCGGGTTCGCGGGACCACTGAAAGCGATCGGCAGACCGGTTCTCGACAAATATGGTGTATACATCTGTCATAGACTTCAACCTCATTAGAGGCGTTTAAACGTCACTTTGGCTCGTTCTATTTGAAACTCATTTAGCGATTAACGATGATTCACCCAATACGCGGCGAAATTTTTGCGAAACTCATCATACTTTCGAGATACAGATCTATAGGGATAACTTTCTAATTAATGCTCGATGTTACAATTATCCCGTATCTATTATCCGACTATCGTTATATCATGAATATGGGATATTTACAAACCGAAATATACACGGGCTTCTATCGGTGCCAATTATCGACTGTCGTGAGCCGTTTGTGGAATTATCGATTGTCGTAAATAATAATAGAAATTTTCGATATCGCGTATCGTGCCAGCCGATTCCTCCCCGAGGACAATTTACGAGACAAACCAATGGAACAAATACGCCCCGTACTCACCTAGCCTGTCTATCGTCGGCTGGATGATGGTGGAGATGTAAGGTTTGAAGTCGTGACCCATCCGATCCGCGAGATACGTGAGGATCTCTAAACCATTCTGGACAACCTGCAAAAGAAGAACACGTGCGTCGTTTGAATTTATGGCGCATATCGGCCGATTATAGCCGCGGTGGCAATGATTGTCCTCCTTCGGTGGGCTCGCGTCGTCGCTTTCGCGCGTACCGGCCGGCGCATCAAGGCGATCGAGGTCTACCGGTTAATTTAGCGAGCACAGAAAGCGTTTATATGGAACTCCATTATGGTATATTAATTAACACTTCCAACTACGGCGAAAAAGCCGGTTCATAATAGAAGCATTGATGCAATCTGCTCTCGCATTCTTCGCGTTTGAGAAACGGGATTATGTCATTCAAAATGTCTTTTCCGAATATTTTATTTTTATTAGAATAATTTTTGTTTTATCAAATATAAGTATATAAAATAAATATTTAAGACAAGTATATAAGATATATAAATTAAATAGCGTATAGCGGAGCTTTCTCGTCCATTTCTCGCAATAATGTTTATGTTTCTGAACAGCATATGTTGATTACTTAAAGGTTGTGCTTGTGATCTCAAAGAGCAATCATGATTGTAATGTAATTATAAACGTGTCACGCAGAGATATTGTTTGCTATTATAAATTTTCATACTACTCTAAAATTGAAACTGAAGGAATAGTCAGCTCTACCCTATAAACTTTATTATTATCACTCAATATTTTTTATTTATATTGTTCAGTATTTTTCTTGGATGATAATCTAACGAAATAAGACTCAATATCGAACAGAGAAAGAAAGATACCAAAGATCATGTATTCTTTTGAAAAAAATATCCAGTAACTCATTTAACAAAAATAAATCACTTTTTCTGATCATCATAACACCTATGATGGAGAGAATACGAAAATAGAAAGGAATAGGTCTAAGAGATCGTAATATAACATCTCTCGTGCAATGTTGACAGCTCGCGTGATGCAAACATATCGATCCAGAGGGAGACGAACTCCATCCTCTTGAAGACAGAGAATCGCTGCTGTTTCTCATTCGTTACTATGCGAGTCTCGCCAGATGCAAGTGCACTCCTGATTACGACCTCAGTAATACTACGATACATGCGTAGAAAGAATGCTGTTTCTGTTAACCAAGAGAATGCACAATTAACCCACCAGAGAATTTCTAATCGAACGTTTGTAATTTAGTACCTGCTAAACACGCGCGAAAGGCGACTGCATAGTAATTACGGTGGAAGTTATAGTAACACAAATCACTGAGTAACGCCAACGATAATACTATATCTTTAACGTGTCGATTTTAATATCCCATAATATATAACATTTACATCTCGCGCCTAAAGAGGATATCTAGGTGAACGTTGCTAAATTTAATTTTCCATTGAGCAGCTTGTATACTACCGCCACAAACTGCAAAGTGTTTAAACGCCTGCAGTACGACATTTAAATACATTTAACGAAGTGCTATACATAGGCGTATAAACCTATTTTCGAGCCACGGGGTAAACGTTCTCTCAGGGCTATCGTCTGGCTGTGACATCATTGCTCAGCACCGAGAATTTTTGCTCTCCTCTTTGGTTTTGCTCTTCTGTGCGCTATTATCTTCAATCTCTCGATAAAACTACATGCACTTCTGATCCATTCATGATTGTATCTACGAAGTGATTTCCACATTATATTTCTACGCTATATTCCATCTATAAACATCTTGATAAGATCTATATTTGCACCATATCTTTCAATATCAATTGCAATGATTGTCTATTAAGTAAACGATACACGATACACGATAAAAATAACATATAGACAATAAACACACTGAAAAATTTTACTAAATCTTAATACATATTTCTTTGAATAATATTAAGTAAATGTTTTTATTTACGGCAAATAAATATTTATTCAATAAAAAGATTAAATCAATGACTTTTATATTAAATAAATATAGGTTTACATTTAGTAAATAAATATTTACTAAATTACAATTGAATATTTAATTGTTTTAAGTAAATACTTAGAACAATTCAAATATTTATTGAAGTTTAGTGTCTTTTTCAATGCACAATTATAACAATGTAAACAAAAATTTGCATCTAAAATGTAAAAAGAATAATGACAGTTCCAGTAACACTTCATAGTTCTATAGTTTCTTACCAAAATAAAGAAGTTCCCCATTTTTTACATTAAAAAATCAAAATTGTTGAAATTTTGTCCTAAAATAAAATTCCAATGATTAATAATTTTTGTACAATTTTGGACATTCGTATTCTGCATGTCGCTAAATACAAATTTTCGACAAGTTATGATAAAGCGAACAGTAAAAACTACAAGTGGGTCTTTGTAGCGAGAGGACTAAACCGAAACGGAAACAACACGCGAGAAGAGTCATCATGCGAAGTCGTACCACGACGACACGTGTGGGCGAGAGATCCACGGCCTTACTTGTCGAACTCGGGTGCACGATCCGTTAAAACTGTTGTTAGCGTTACGTGGGAGGCTGCGCACGTTTCCTCCTGTACGCACGCAGAAACGCATCGCGTATACGAATTCGCGTTTGCGAGGCGCCACGTGATCAGACGCGGAAAAGGGCCTTCGAGGGAAACGCGTATTTTCGGGCACGCGAGATATATCTGGTATCAAATACGTCGCTGAACTTCTTGGCAGTTTAACAGAAAAGCCAGAGGAAACGAGACGAGAAATCTGCCGACGGTTACGAAAGCGAATACGAATGTGGGAAAGCTGAGTCAATTTTCGTCGGATTTTCAAGTATTATTAATATTCTAAGGCATAACAACGCGGAACGTTTAATTATTTTGGGATCAAGTCTACGTCTGTCTTAGATTAGACGAGTGAGTTGTATGTACGCTCTTCAAGCAAAGCTCTTTACAGATTCACTGCGACGCGAAAGGCGAGAAAGGAAGAAAAATGCAAAATTTCACTGCGCCGAGAGTCGGTCGTCCTGCAATTCGCAACGGACTATATTTGGCAACCCATATTCGGTTATCTCTACGTGCGTTGTGAGACAAACGTTTCTCAATGCGCGAGATAAGCGCAATTCGATAGTGTCGTAGCATTACTCATTCTCGTTTTATTGCAACAATTCCGAGGCAAAGCGGCCGACACTACACAATGTTAGTTCAATAATTCCGACGTTATGGAAGAAATCCTCGAGTATACACAAAATTCACGGAATTCTGAGGTAATAATCTGCTCCGAATTCACGAAGCGGATGCATTATACGCGGCATTCGTATAAAAATGCCTGAGATAAGCGGGAAAACTGTCTCGTAATCGCGCAGCTCAGCTCTTAAAAAATAAGTTGAGAGTCGCTTGAAACGAATTCGGTGATGACATATACCTCTGTGTTTTTATACTTTTTGATTATGAGCAAAAAATAAAATGCAGAATGTTAATATTTTAGGTTTATCTCTTCGTTTTTTTATTCTCCTTCTATGATCTAAGTTCTTTTTGACACAAGTAAAATTTCACATTCAAATTTTTGGGTATGTTAAGTTAGCACCCCAACTATAGTACTCAGCAGTTCTGATTAGAATTCCCACTTCCTTTTGACGAGACGAAGAGTTCCCTATAGTTAATAACAAGAGTTCCGCTCAATAAACATTTTTTTTTACATTTTTTAAAAATGGGGTGCTAACTTTTTATCGAATTTCGAGGTGGAATAGTTCTGAGCGGCTTAATAGCTTCAATTTGCGATTGCCTAGAGTTCCTGATATGTGAAAAAAATTTTCCAATATCAAAAAAAAATTAAAAATTTTTGAAAAATTAATTTTTAGATACAATAGTTCTGATGATAATTCCTGCTACTTTTTGACGATACGAAGAGTTCTCTATGATTTTTAATGACATATGCGCTTAATAATCATTTTTTAATAATTTTTTTTAAATAGAGTGCTAACTTTTTAACGAAATTCAAGGTCGCATAGTTCTGATCAGCTTAACAGGACTATTTTGTGAATATCTAGAGTTCTTGATACATAAAAAACATTTTTGAAGAATAATAAAATTTTTAAAAAGTAGTAGAAACCTTTGAAAAATTTTTTGACAGTACCGAGTAGTTCTGAGCGTTTCTTACAGATCTCGACGAGTTCTATCGAAAACTGTAAGGTGAAAAGGCGATTGGACCAAAAAAAAATAGAAACCTTTCAAAAATTTTTTGACAGTACCGAGTAGTTCTGAGTAGCGTTTCTTACAGATCTCGACGAGTTCTATCGAAAACTGTAAGGTGAAAAGGCGATTGGACCAACGGTTTGCAAGATACAGCGACATTTGTCGGAAGATCAATAATTTTTAGAGTATATCTCGGAAACCATTGGTCTAATCGCTTTGAGCCCTCATACTTTTCGACAGAACTCGCCGAGAACTGTCTAGAAATCCGAACAGAACTACTCGGTACTCTCAAAAAATTTTCCGACGTGGGACTTGGAAAAAAATTCGAAGTCAAAATTTTTTGGGAGTACCGAGTAGTTCTGATCGGAGTTCTGGACAGTTCTCGACGAGTTCTGTCGAAAAGTATCAGGGCTCAAAGCGATTGGACCAACGGTTTCTGAGATATACTCACTTTAAAAATTGTTGATCTTCTGACAAAAGTCGCTGTATCTTGCAAACCGTTGGTCCAATCGCTTTTTCACCTTATAGTTTTCGATAGAACTCGTCGAAAACTATAAGAAACGCTACTCAGAACTACTCGGTACTCTAAAAAAATTTTCCGACGTGGGACCTCGAAAAAAATTTAGTCAAAATTTTTTGGGAGTACCGAGTAGTTCTGATCGGAGTTCTGGACAGTTCTCGACGAGTTCTGTCAAAAAGTATCAGGGCTCAAAGCGATTGGACCAACGGTTTCTGAGATATACTCACTTTAAAAATTGTTGATCTTCTGACAAATGTCGCTGTATCTTGCGAACCGTTGGTCCAATCGCTTTTTCACCTTACAGTTTTCGATAGAACTCGTCGAGAACTATAAGAAACGCTACTCAGAACTACTCGGTACTCTAAAAAAATTTTCCGACGTGGGACTTCGAAAAAAATTTAGTCAAA